TATATATATATATATATGCACGTGTAAATGTATTTGTATACGTACGTACATGTATATGATATGAATATGCACACAACACTCACGTAGGAAACGAACGAGGAAGAGGAGTGGCCGCACGCTGCATCGGACAGGTTGCAACTGCGTATATTATGCATCGGTAATAATCGTTCCCCAAAAATCTAGCCAACCATAAACAACTTTCTCCACTGTTGCGTTCGAGGTGATCTCGCCCGATCGAAGATTTCTTTGTTCATCGTTGTGTGTCGTCTCTTTCACGACGTATTTCGTTCAAATCCTTTTTTTATTTTTTTTTAATCAAGAGAGAAGCTTGTCTCCTTAGCAGGAATATAGTTTACACTTGTCAGCTTAAAACTGGAAAATCAAACATGAATTTTTTAAAAAGATAATTGCTAAATCCCTATCGAGACACGATCAAGTTGTAATCTCAAGGATTATAACAGGGTTTACTCTTTTTATTGAGTACTTCTTTAACCAAAATTCAATCAACAGTGGAATATATTATCACAAGAAATACCGCGAGTAGACATTAACTGAGCATAAGTCCTTCTCTGAACTATAAAAAATCGGTCTGAAACTAATCACTTTCTAAGACGGTCTAACCTTTATAACAAATTGTAAGATTTAGCCCCAAATCGCTAATAAGCCAACAAAGTCAAAAAACCTAACCTAACCCTAAATAATGAAAGTAAAAAAAAAGAAAATGTTTCAAGGTGCGAAACGACGAGCGAGATTTTTTTTTCTTTTTCGGTAAGAGGAAACAGTTTAGTTTTACTATTAGATATATGCACACACCTCTCTCTCTCTCTCTATATATATGATCCTAGTGAATTTCGCAGCTTCGAGTTTCCCCTAGGGGACACTCCATCAAATACTAAATTATTCATTTTCCATCTTTTTCTCTCTCGTCGTTCCTTCTCTAACGTACCTTTTTTACTCAATCTTTCTTGTTCCTTATCAGTTCTCTCAGTCCTTTTATCTTTGATTTTATACGCGCGATTTCCAATCTTCCCACTGATATGAGAGATACCTTAACGAAACGAGTCTCCTCGCTCTCTCGATTGACCAAGGATCAACGAAAACTGATTTATCCACGGAAATTCGTAGTTTGTAATTCATATATATTCGCAAGAGTTATCCGAAGTACGCGTACAGTTGCAAACAAGTCGGAAGTTGCCGTGAGCGACCAGTCTCACACCGACATGAGACTATACTCAATGTTTAACTTAACCTAAATCTCTTGAAACGCGTCAGCGTGTTTAAACGGGTCGAGTTCATTCGAATTGAACGAACAATAAAAAAACGCGGATAGTTTCTTTTTTCGTCTCGTCTACTTATGACAATCTATCTATAGTCTTGTCTACTTATGTAATCTATCTAATGTACATTTCTCTACTTTGTACCAATTGTCGTTCGTACAAGCAGACTTGACAATGAAACGCATCGTGTCGCCATCTTTTTACTTCGTTGGCAAACTATACAGAGGGCCTTAAATTCCTTTAAGCTCCCAAATTTTATTTCTAGAGGGTTTGCACAATTTGTTATTCGATTCCACCGAAGTTTTCATTCAAGTAAACACAGCTAGTGAAGAGAGAAATTTGGAGAAAAAAGTATCAGACACCAACGTTTTTTTGAATTTCAGCATTGAGTAATAATGCTATGAAGGCAATTAATATGCAGTGCAAAATTCTTTGAATGTCTATAGATATTCCAATATCGGTTTTCAGGATTTAGTCTTTCGGACTAAGATCTCTCCTTCCAGGAGGCTAATAGTCACCGATAACGACGAGCTCGATTGAGTCGAATCCTCGTCAATTGTTCAGAATTTGGCGGTTCACCAGATACGGGAGCATCTTCACCAAACAGGAAAAGTATATAGTACTGTGATTTTTGCAAAGAGTGTAAAGCACGAAGAATGTTACTGTGCAACTCTCAATTGCTTAACCCATTCGCACGGCAGCCATTATGTATATTTTGTGGACAAAATGCACTTAGGCAATGCAGTGTAGAAATGATTCAGAAAACACTGAAAAGCTGACTAGGTATGCTAGTAAAGAGAAAAATAAAAAATATAACGTATTACTATTTATTAATAATAAATTTTCCAAAAAAAACTTTAGTAAACGAACAAAAGATTGTATATATATATATATATTAATAGTTTATTTCAGTATGATACTTTTTGAAACACTCTGGAATATGTAAAGCTACCAAACAAAGCCCGTTAGTGTCCCAATAATCGTCCGTCAATATTAGATTGAATAAATCTGTTACAGGGATTATTTCCTAATTTTTCCAAAAATAAAGGGTTTATACATGGTGAGATTACTAATGTGTTATCTGCGGTGATTGAAAGTAATTGAAAGTAATTGCGTTCGATAGCTATGTATGTATGTATGTATGTACTGTACTTTCTCTCAATCGTTTCACAGATTCGAGATGGAATTGGTCGCGAGCTGGACGGGTAACGTTCAAGTTTCCAAGGAGATCGGTTGTATCGAGCGAACGATCCGTCACTCGGGCGGCAGTTTCGAGATGACCAGCCATTAACAAGGTTACGCGAGGATTTCCCTCTGTGTCTGTCTGCCTCCGACAATCCGCGCGTACAGTTTGCGCACACACTCCAGCTCACAAGCCTTAGTTAGGGCACTCGGAGTTTCTAACTAAATACCTGCCGCAGCTGTATGAAGCGGCGACTTTCAGAGGCTGGCCTTCGAGGGCTGTGTAGTTGTTAAAGAAACCTTTATTGTTGACACTTTGCTGTCGGGCTATTTTTCGCGCGTCTTACATCTGCAGCGGGCAAACCCGACAAATTCACTTTGCTGTCGGGTTTGGATAAATTTCTGAAAACACGATAAATTTATAAAAACTCTGCCTTTTTATATCGTCAAACAACTACTGCAGTAATAAAGCAACTTCGACAGTAAGTTAATTGCGTTATGCACAGTGAAGTGCTTTGAAGCATTTCTTTTTCTGTTTGAAGACAAAAACACGTTGTTTTTGTCTACGCAGTAAAAAAAATTACCAAAAAAAAAAAAGATTCCGGCAAGAATTTAATAGGTTAAAAAAGTTATTTATTATTGTAAGAAAGTCATATGCATCCTATAAAACTGAGATACATTTTACAGTCTTGTCAAGTTTGCTGCTGTCGAGAAAACGAGGCTAAGTAAAGAGGTTTCAACCAGCAGAGGCAACGTGAAAACTGGACAATTGGAGATTGGGAAAAAGATGCTACTGGCACTGATGAAGTTCGAGGCTCGAGTGCGTTTCAAACTCGATTTTCTTGAAGACGAAGCATCTTTCAGGAAAAATTTGTTCTGACGCTTTTCTTTTTTTTTTTTTCTTTTCTCTTACTTTCGCGCGTAGAATAACTTTCTATCGATTGTTTCAGTCACGTCTAGAATTAGCCAAATTCGAGTACACTCGATGGAGTCTCAAAAATCTCGATTTTCTCGAGAAAACAAAGGCTCCAACGATCGAAATTTTATTATGTTTCTTTTCGACACATCTTTACACGTAAAACCACAATCTCTGTTTATGCTTGCAGACGATGCTCGATTCTGACTACTCGTGCCAAGAGTGAAACACGAGGGCGAAGAAAACCGGTGATTTAGTTCAAATGAATGGGTTTTTAACGCTGTTCCGTCTGGATGAAATTTTAATCTATGCGTGATAATATGATCCTGAACAGACATCGAAAAATATGCGAAAATTATTTGAACCAACTTGGAAGTAATGATTCACTGCAAATTACAAGATGGCTACCCCATTGAGAAATTTTGGGAAGAAAATGTCCTACTTCAAAAACAGATTTATCTGTTAATATTCTGCAGCAAGAATAGAGTAACATATTAGAAACTTTTGGTAAGATTCATGCAGCATTCTTTTGTTAGAGAAAAAAAATTCTTTACATTTTTCAACGATTATTTCATTTTTTTCTTTCTTTTAGACTTCAATATAAATACTCGTGGTCAATCAAAAGGTGATTCTAAAAGTGTATAAAAAAATGTGTCTAGAAGAAAGAATAAAATCCTTCTTCATTAAATCCTTTGTTCTCGAGAAAATCCGGATTAAAAATATATCGAGTATACTCGTATTTGACTAATTCTAGACGTGATTGAAAAGAACAGTTGGCAGCAGGTTGAGTAAGTAAAAAATGTAGAATAAAATTTTTTTGCAAGTTGCTGCGTAATCGAGTTTGAACATTTCTCAAGTACACGTGTACTCGAGGTAACTTTTAACGAAACACGTTCAAAGTCTATCTCCTTGAAAATGACGCCTTAAACGAAGAAACTTCATTCCACATTTTCTGCTTATTCTCGCTTGTAAAATAGTCTCCTATTAATTATTCTTTTTTGTCGCTTGTCTACGATTAACCAAATTCAAGTATAGTTGATAAATTTTCAAACTCGATCTCTACGAGAGAACGAAGGCTTCAGTGAAAATTTTATTCCTCCTTTTCAACACATATTTACATGTAGAATCATCTCTCAATTGATTTTGGATCACCACGAATAATTCAAGTATAGTTGATAAATTTCCAGCCTCTCGAAGAGATTGAGGTTTTAAAGGATATCATAACTGACAATCTTCGAACTCGACGAATTTGAACGAGGACGAAGGCTTCAATGAAGAAATTTTATTCCTTCTTTCCGACACATCTTTGCACACCTCTCAGTCGGTAAAGTCACCACGAGTCGCGGCACACCCTGTACAATAAGTGTCCCAAGGCTTCTATAAACGTGTATGTGTGTGCACGGAAAGTCAGCAAGCGGCATTACGCTTGGTAAGCGCGGGGACGTTTAACGCCGACGTCTGCGCACCAGAGGAGAGCCACTCCGACTGCACCTCCTTACGTCTTCCCATCCGAGTGCATCTGTACTCGCGGACGAACCGTTTCGACCCTTCCAAGGGGGAGAGGCGACAACGCAAAAATTCTCAGCTACCGCGACTTTCGGCCGGGCCGCGGTGGGGGATCGATGAAAAACCGATAAAACCGATAGCCACCGATAGCTCGACACGTGACGGATAACGTGGCTGCCAGCCACGATGTTCAACGCACCGGAACATCTGCAAATTGATTTCCGATACAGTCGACGTAGAAACGTCGTGCAAATTAGGTTACGCGTAATTATACAAATTCGCTGGATGTTGAAAGAACATCGATAACGACGAGGAGAGAGGAAGAGGGAGAAAGGGAGAAGTGTAACAGGGGGAATAATAGGTCAACGTCTTCTTTGGAAACTGCGTCATCAGTCGAACACCAAACACAAACGCAGCAAACGGTCTCCTAAGATTAACCTCTTGCGTTGGAATGAGGTGTCACGCATGTCGAGAACTTTTTGTCCCAAAATTGCTATATTCCCTCAGTTTTAAATATATTTAAATATAATCCAGGCGAAACAAATAATAAATTTGTTATTTCTTAGTAATAATTTCTATCCAGCGATATCATACCAACGAATTATTGTATACGTATTGTAATTATTGTATTTGGTCACTCGTTATGGTCCGTGAACGCGTAAGAGGTTAAGAAACAGTTGCAGTTAGCTGACTGTAAATCCGTGGTTCCCAACGTGGGGCCCAATTTGATCTAGGAAGAGGGGGATTCGAAAATGAGTTATTAACAATTTTTTGTTTTAAGACGAGTTCAAACTGTATCTTGAATTCGTTAGGTACCTTTATTTTATTTTATAATAATTTAAATGATCAAAGTATTACTTAAAAAAGCTTTCATTAAAATTATTTTATATTTGTGCTATTTCAATGTTTTAGAACTTCATTTGTTGTTGTCATGTCGCTTCATTCTTTTATTATTCTTTTTCTTTCGTGGATGTCATGTTTCGAAGCTTGTTCTTTAGAAGATCAAGTCTAAAAGATAATTTTTTAGGCTTCCTCCACGTCAAAAATTCACTTTTCAATACAATAATAAGAATCATGTGGGGAATCAGAGATGCTTAGGTTAGGAGCATGGCCAAAAAAAGTTTGGGAAACACTGTTCTAGATACTCTGGGATACACTAGGTACGAATGATCGAGCGAGGAAAGTTTGTAATTTTCAGAGGATAATTTTGATAATTTTGATAATGGGTAATTCTTCGATAAAAGTTTTTTTAATAAGGAATGATCGATTTCTCACCAATCAGCATGCTCACTTTGCAAACTCGATACTGCTACATTAACTATATACAGCGATATTGTTATAGTCTGGATAATATTGTTGTATATTTATTAGACGAATGAAAATATTGTATTCAGCTTCTATTCAGCGGCTAGCAAGCCAATTTTGAAACGACGCAGGACTACGCAACCGGTATTCAGTTAACAAATTTAAAGTTACTTTAGCATTCAGCTGAAGAATTTGAAACGACGTTGGACTGCGTTGTCAGTCGCGAATGCGAGAACGCGTTACACCAGCGAGATCCTGCCCGAACGATTCGTTCATCCATTCTCGTTCTTCTAATTTCTAGGTCAATGATCCTTCAACTTTCATCGAACGGTGGCACAGAATTAATTAGTCAGTCCCTTTCCTCGAGAATCGAAGGGAGAATCTGGCACGCGATCCATGTGGCAAACGTGCAATTCTTAACCGTGTCTTGCTGATACACTTGACGTACGAATTAAATGAAATTCGATATGAAAAAGATGATGTTTAGTTTTCATTGTAACATTCGTGTAAACTTGACGAAGATAATTTCTTTATACTGCGTAACGTCATAAACAAAATTTATAGAAAATGATGAAAAAAAAATTAATAATTCGATAGTCCTTCAGACAAGGATAAGAAGAAAACTTTTAGACGAGCATCTTGAAAATATTCCTCGTATTGCTATTATCTATATTAAACCAGACATTGATGTACTGGCATTTAAAAAAACAAGCTCGGTGTTCTCATTAAAAATTTTCATATTTTTTTTTACTTAATATAAATATATTTTGCTAGTCAATTGCTTCACTGTAAAAGTTGTTTTAACATCCTCACGAATAATAATAGTAGGTTATATAATAATAACCTAGGTTATAGATAATAATAATATAGGTTATATATATAAAATCTAGATTATAAATAATAATAATAATATAGGTTATATATAACCCATATAGGTTATTAGTTTTGTATATATATAACTAACCTAACCTAATAAATTATATATGTTACTATATTAGGTTACATTGACTATTGTTATAGGTTGTGTGTATGTAATATAGGTTATAGATAATAATAATATAGGTTACATATATATACCCTAGGTTATAGATAATAATAATATAGATTATATATATAACCTGTATTAACCTATATATATAAAACCTATATTAGCCTATATGTATAATAATCTATATTATTATGTATAACTTATATAAGTTATCAGTTATATATATAACTAACCTAATAGATTATATATGTTACTATATTAGGTACATTGATTATTGTTATAGGTTATATGTGTGTATG